ACAGGAGCGCTAGCAGGAAGTGATCATCATCAAAATTAAAAAATACATCCGCATCATTACAATCTCTGAAATAAGAACTATCAGTTACAGAACTAGTACATTCATATGAAATTTCATCGACCTTATCAGAATCATTTTTAATAAATATATTAGAGCTCTTTTTTGTATCAGACTCCTTATGACTACCATTTCTATCCCGAATAGACGAAGCACTTCCTTTAATGACACCATGCATATCTTCACAACCAGTAGCCGCCTCATAATCATATTGATCAGTCGCATCGCACACATTTTTACTTAGGGTAGTAATTGGCTGAACGTTGTCAGTACTATCAATGTCAGAAAAAATGTTTGACGAACGACCTGCATTAATATCACAGTTAACCTTTCCAGATTCCGTTAAACTCACCGACACCACATCAACACTTAACGGTAAAGCTGTTGTTGGTTCATGAACTTCATTCGTTAAAACAACAGATCTTGATAGGTTATCAGTAATGTTGTTTTTAGCTCCAGTAAAAACATTATCATCAGGTTGTAAACATTGACATTTCCAATCATATAAATTGCATCTTGGACAAAGAACCGAAGTGCAGCTCTTTTTCCCATGGCCCTGTTTATAACATCTGAAGCACTTGAATTCGGGACAATTCGAAACAACATGACCAGGTAAAAGACAGATAAAACACACCTTCTCCTGGTCATTATGACGCACTGAATACGACTGACCATCGAAAACAGTTGCATAAGGTAAACTACAGACGGTGGGGGGGAATTCCACCTTTACAAATCTCGTACCATCATACTTCTTTTTACCATCATAGTCCTTAGTTTTTCTGATTATAGGACCACATGAGGTCACACCCCAAGATTTCAATTTGACTTCAATATCCTTGTCGGAAACATAAACAGGGATATGCATGAAAGACACAACTTTTACTCTGGAATCTATCAATTTACAATGAAGACCTTCAGAGCCATCGAGCAAACCATCTCGTGCTATAACACTAGCTAATTTATTATTGACGACGGTAACATCATATGATCCATTACAAGGAACAATAGCAAGAACGCTATCGTCACCAAGTTTATCTTCAACTAATTTTATAACGTCAGCAGCAAGCAGTTTTACATTGTCAGAAAGTATAACCTTTACCGTATTGTCTATAATTAATAGGTTTGTTGTGGCAGACGACACACCGGACGCCATGTCGGATTTACTGGCTAAACACCAGCCGGGCCAAAGGCCCCAAAAATGTTAAATCAGTCCACTTATAAACAAATTTCAAATCGAACAATGTCACAAAAGTGTTTGTTAATTACTTACAGTAATCATTTACAAAAAAATATCCACACAAAACTCGATGTTAGGCGATTAATCAGAGCAATACCATTTCACGTCTTACTCCTATTTTCACCAAACCGGAAGTCCATATTGATAATTCACCACAGCATGAAATATTGAGTACTGAGATTAGAATTGAGAAAAAAAAGTTCTCAGCCCCCAGGGAGGATCGAACTCCCGACCCCTGGTTTACAAGACCAGTGCTCTAGCCACTGAGCTATGGAGGCTTGAGAGCGACAGCTGTCTCAGGGTTTTGTACGGTCATTGCATCACATACAACATTCTCTAGGTTATTTAATGGATCGATAAAGATTTTACGGGTTTTGAATAATAATAAATGATTTCTTACTTGAAAAAATATCTGCCCCG